TTTTTTTCAGTTTGTAATTATGTTGTTGTGAATCCTTTTTAGGTTTAACTTTGAAGATGAAACTCCAACAACAAACTTTGATACCTTCCCAGCAGCCATCCTCACGGTGTTCCAGGTAAAACAAGAAAACAAAACATTACACATATGTGTGCAATCATGCTTTCCAAATGAGAACAAGAGCATATTGACACTATGGAAAAATAAAGTTTGTTATCAGTCATTTTAATTAGAGCAAATGAGGGGTCTGCATACCTCCGTGTGCCCTAATGAGCTCACTGATAATCCTTCAATTAACCTGTACTCATAAGCCCTCACTAAGTAATTTAATTCTGTGCTCTGTGAGATTTGCATGCTCCTTTACAACCCAGCCTCACTCTGACTCTCGTTTCCCTCAGATTCTGACTGGCGAAGACTGGAACGCAGTGATGTACCACGGGATCGAGTCTCAAGGAGGCGTTCGCGGCGGCATGTTCTCCTCCATCTACTTCATCGTCCTCACACTCTTTGGAAACTGTATCCTTTTTGACATCACAGCATACACAAAGTCAGAAGCAGTGCCCATCAATTACAGAAAAAATTTAATTGCAATGTAAATGCTGACCTTATCAACAGTAAACATTCCATTGATACATGTAAATGAAATGTTATTGCAGGGATGTTTTACTTTGGATCATGCTACAGCCAACTCATGTTACAAGTTAAGTCTTTCAAGCTCGTAAATATAGGCTGAAATGGGAGTGATTTCTCTAAAAAACAAAGGTGATGAAAGATGAGAATTTTTTGCCAGCTAGCAGTGAGTTCTTACTCTGTCAGCCGTCATGTACTCTTGTCAACTTGAGGTGAAAAATTAGGCCCTGCTCTGTCAGGTAAACTGACAGATCTATTCAGCATCACTTTTTCAGATTGCTACTAGTTTGGTGGGAAAAGCCAATGAATACTTAATCTGTCCAACTGTTGTTGCTCCTGAGTGCCGTTGTTATTCAGACACCCTCCTGAATGTCTTCTTGGCTATTGCCGTCGATAACCTTGCAAATGCACAAGAGCTGACGAAGGTAGGCGGGAAAACCAATCCAGCAAAAAAAAAAAAAACCCAAAACAAAAAAACACTTGCCAGATGTTGATTTTTGAAACACAGTAAAGACAGATTCATCCTTTACTCCTTGAACAAATTTCAGTGTTGCTGAGACACCTGGCAGAGTGAGCTTTTTCAGCAAGATTTTCCTGGGTTTGATGTGATCCTTTTTTCATGGCTATATTAGGGTTATATATGGCTGAAAACAGATATCAGTCTTGGGTAAAATTTCGACAATATCAGATGACACAATTAAATTCTGATTGACTTTTTTTCCCCTAAACAAAGGTCATGACTGCCTAATCTGATTTTGCCCAGAAAACTATGGAGATCTGTTGCAATAGTAATATATTCCTCTTAAGCACAAATTAATGTCTTGGTTGTCACTGGCTGAAGGATGAAGAGGAGCAGGAGGAGGCAGCCAATAAGAAGCTCGCTCTACAGAAAGCTTTGGAAGTGAAAGAAGTCAGCCCGATGTCAGCAGCCAACATTTCGATCGCTGCGTAAGTTTCTCTTTCCCCAGACAGCACCGCTGTTCAGTCCCACACGGAAATAAAACTGTATGATATCTCTCCGTAGGTTCTTCCCTCTCAGTCTGACATGTCTGTGTGTATATTTGTACCCTGTTTGATTTGTCTGTGTTCTGAACTTCTCATCCACTCCCATTAAGTCAGTGCCCCTGTGGTGTTTCTTATTTATTACACCCTACTCTTTACCCTCTTTAATATTATAGGCAATTAAGGAAGCTTCAGTGAGTAATACATGTGAGTTTCCACTAGCAAATTTCATGATATTATTTTTTTATTTTGCCCTTGAATGTTGCTACCTGCTGCTAAAATGGCATTTTATAATCAAAGCTGTTGTTTGATTTACAAATGATGCAGCTCTCCATTCTGCATCTTTAGATGATAATCTCAGTAGTATTTTAGATATCGTGTCCCAGTTATTTCTCTCTGTCTACTAAAGTTAGTGAGTAATGATTAGCAAAAAATCATAAAAATCAGCGCAGATACTTGATGTGATACTCAAAGTTTTCTGAGGATTCTGCAGTCTTTGGAAAACTAAGTACACTGTTAGGAATTAAGAGTGTAAGAAGTATAAATAAAGTTGGGCACTGGTAATAAAATTCAAATGCAAATGACTTGAAAGTTTAGCAGGTTGCTGGTTTGTGTTAACACAATGTCATAAAAATTACACAATTGGTCTTCCTAGCAAATTCAACCCATGGCCAGACCATGCAATGCTCAGAGAAACATAAAGAAGTCCAAGAGCAACATCTTAGACTCTATAAGCCTCACTTAGCATTAAATGTTAAAGTTAATGACAGTAAACTTGGAAAAAGACTGAAAACGTGTGACTTGTTTGGAAGGGTTGCCAAAAGAAAGGCTCTTTTCTATAAAAAACAAAAAACACAGGAGCATGATTCTGGTTTGCAAAGCTGCATCTGAACAAACAGCAGGATGTCTGGTACATGCTCCTTTGGATAGAGGAAAGTGGAGATGTTTGAATGTAATACACAGTGCGCACAGTCTTTAAATGCTACATTTTTAAGTTTAAAACTTCAGTTTTTTTCTGTGTTGCTGTGAACAAATTATGGGTTCATTGCATTTTTTTTTTATGTGGTCCCAACTTAAAACCAAAGCAATTCACATGAGATACTCATAAAGAGCGAGTAAGCTTAATGCAAATCATAAACAGTGAGACATGAAGACTAACATTAAGCATGATGACAGAGACAGGGCAACACTGATAAAAAATGGAGAAACTCAAAGTGGCACAAGAAAACCAAAAGAACCCAAACGAATCAATTATTCGTAGCTATAAATTATCACGTCTCACTGTATTTTCCTATCTTATTCACTAAAACAGCAACAATGCATTGTCTCTGCATTGTGTTCGTGCGTGATTGTTTCCACTTGTGTGTTAAAAAATTCTGCATAGGTCTTTTTGTGATGACATTTTTTTTTATTCATTTGTAAAACTTGCTCCTTAATTGCCGTCGTCCTCACTATGAGGTCAGTTAGAAATTATTACTGCCGTAAATCCCTGGCTAGCCGACTTGTTCCCCATTACACTGCTCTTAGTGTTATCACGTGGCCCTGTGCATTAGTTTCAGCCTTGTCAGACATGTTTAGTTTGTGCATTGAACAGTGTGCTCACACAAAAAGTCAGTGGGCTCATAAGAAACTCTTTATTTTTACTATCTGTGTTGAATGTGCTGTTTCAGAGAAACTCAGGGTTTCATTACAAAACTGAAGACAAAATCTAAGAATCTTCATTTGAAAAAATTTTAAATATCTAAATATGTTTCAAATTCAACATTTCATTGTAAAATATAAGATTACATTTTCCTCTTCATATGTTTTGGATTGAAACTCCTGAATGGTTTTCAGTTTCAGTTTTCGTCATAAAGATGTCACACGTTTTTCCGTTGCTGTTGTGTTATTGAAGTATTTGCACAGATTAGTCCTTTGCTGTAACACAGAAGGCAGGGGGCAGGTGGAATGTCAGTCTTTTTGTCCACCTGCCCCCTTCGGATTTGTGTCTCATTTTTTTTTCCTTTGTTTTTGTTCTGCATGTACAGTTTTGTAAAGCAAAATCGAGATGCACTCTCTCGCAGGTCGTCCATCAGCAGCATTCAGTCACCGTGAGTTATCACTCTCTGTTACAATATTCTCCTCCTGGTCTCCTCTCCTCTCCTGTTTCCTTTCCTCTTTGCCTTCTCTTCTAGTCTTTCATCCCTTCTGTCTCCTTTCTTCTCTGCAATGCATTGTTTTTTTCCCTCTTTACATCTCTTCAAGTTCTTGTATCCTCCCACTTTCGGACAATCTGTGCTCTCCTCTCTCCTCCAGTCCTCTCCTTTCCTCTCCTTTCCTCTGCACCTTCATAAAACTAAATTGTGTTCTGTCATAACTTCGTTGCTAGTGAAGTGAAATGTATTTATGGTTCTTCTTTTTTAAGTCATTGAAACTGCACTACAGCAGATGGCACACGGTGCCACTGTGGTTTAATTTTGACTGTAAACTGTAGACTGTTGTGCCTCTGCCTAGCCTTCGGTGCCTACAGTAATAGATCTTCAGCTCTGTGATGTGAATAATTTGTCTATAAATGTTTAATTTCTCTGCTTTGCTACTACCACAGGCAGTTTGGCATTTCCATTCTATTTGTTATTGTAGACTCCAGGCTGTCACTAAAAGAAAAACACAACAACAACCAGCTTTTGCTCTCCCTCCTGGTGATCTGCTCTCTTAATTGATTACGGTGCTGCTGGAAGGCCATCGCACCTCTTTGAGTTAACACTGGTTTCTTATAAGGACTGCTCTTCTTGTGTTTTTGAGTGTGCATGTGCTATGTCACAATATCTCACCAGTTACTCTAGCATTTCTAGCTTTCATTTCTGCAATCGCCTACATGTATTTCAGTAGTTCACCTGTCGGTGGATACCTGTCCTGTCCTGTCTTCTGTCTCCCTGTCTGTCTCTTAGGAGTTATACTGTCTACTCCTCCCCCGCTCGATGTGTCTTGAGGTACAGGTGATAAAATGGAAATAAATGACCTAACCCATAAAACTCACAAATCATACTGTGAACAGGAGCAATATGCATTACATTGATGACAACCAGGAATATTATTACATTAAATGGATGCTCTATGTTTGATTTTTTTATTTTGAGAAATAAAAAAAGCTCCCATTTCGCCCCATAATTATTATCCCAGATCATCTTCTCCTAAACTCTGCTATTACCCACCGCATGATTTTCCTGCCTGAACCATTTGCACATGACTCGGGTCACCCTGTGCAATGTCAGTGAGGCATGCCATATTAAGAAGTCCCAGTAAACGTTTTGATGTTGTCTGCTACAACAGCTGTTCTAAGTTTCACATGATGGTTGAAAAATACTTCTAAAATAAAAGTTTTAGTAGTAGCTGTAGTATCTTTCTAATAATTGACAAAACAAACTTATCTTGCATGTGGGAAGAGTTAAAAAAGTATCCCTACAGATTACACTGTTATAGTGCAAGACTCCCAATGTCCTGTACAAATAAAATAAATTCACCATGCAACACACAATGAGACAGGAATAAATTAGCATGTATATATGTATTAATATACATGAATATGTGCTTTTTATTTGGAATATAGACATCTGATAATACTAGAATTAATACGCTGTGTGGACAAGTACGTCAATCTGTAAGGTTTCAATAATCTAAAATTCCAGACTTTCAATAAAATGATGTTGTGATAAATAGCAAGTATCAATATTTATTTATTTATATTTTTTTATCTGTAAGGGAGGATTCATTGGAACTACTAATTTACATGGAAACGTATGCACACCTCATGACAACGTTAAAATGACCAATGTTACTGTTTTAATAAAGTTTACTGACGTCTTTAATAATAATGGATTGCATTTATAAAGCGCTTTTCGGGGCCCTCAAAGCGCTTTACAATTCCACTATTCATTCACACACTGGTGGAGGCAGCTACAGTTGTAGCCACAGCTGCGCTGGGGCAGACTGACAGAAGCGAGGCTGCCATATCGCGCCATCGGCCCCTCTGGCCATCACCAGTAGGCGGTGGGTGAAGTGTCTTGCCCAAGGACACAACGACCATGACTGTCCGAGCCGGGGCTTGAACCGGCAACCTTCCAGTTACAAGACAAACTGCCAACTCTTTGAGCCACGATCGCCTACAAAGATAGTTTTGGCAAGATAACACAAACCCAACAATTCCGCCAATGTACATGCTAAATAACAGGAATATCAAAGTTTTGACCCTCTCATTTTATTTTAATTTCTGACATGCACCACCATGCAGCAATACTCAATATAACTTGTTCCACAAATCTACAAAAGATTCTAAGAGTTGTCAGGGGGATAGATTACTGTGCATGTTCTTGTTTAAAGGACTAAGCACGCTCGGTCTGCGCACAGCAATGATAGTGAGTTGGCTAGTTTGTAATGCAATAACAATAGTACATGCCCATATTATAATACAGGTTTCTAAACCTGTGATTTATGTGTTATGTGGTTGCTAGACAACATGATGACCTTACAATATGCAACATAGATCATGTAGGGGTCTAAGATGTAGCTGTGGTAGGGTTTGTAGCTCAGCTTCTGATCGTGTAGGAGGAGTTCATGGACGGAGAGACTAGAATTTGTGTATTTTAGTAAGATAAATATCTGCAAGTAAATGCTCAATTTATGAAATTAGTGGAAAAAAATCTCATCTTATTGGTTGTTACTTTCAAATCTGACCTCGGGTATAAACTGGGTACCTGTATTAAGTTTGAAATAGTTGTACATGTGTCCATTTATTATTATAAACCTTTGTTTTTTTTAGCAAACACTCACCTGAGTGGAAAACCTTTCTTTGAGCATATAAAATACTTTTATAAAATGTGCAAATCTCTTATATACCACAAAAAGAGAATGACGCCTTAATAACAACATGTCAGATTTATACCAAGGAGAAGTGAGTTAGATTGGAGAAGAAAATTTTAGTCTGTGACTAAAGAAACTTTTATAATTTATAATGTAATTTCAGAGATTTATAATGTAATTTCACAACATTTAAAAGCTTAACAGTGTAATATAAGACATACTTAGTGGTAAGAGAATTAAATGTCAAAATATCCAAATTAAGAATAAGGATCTCCTATTTAGACACAAAAATAATGCTTCATGTTTATGAGGACATAGAATTATTTTCTGAATAAAATGCGAGTAAAAGTTTATTCATTTAACTCATTAGTCATTAAAGAAATTGTACCTGGTACAAACATATCAGGTAAATTTCATTTAACAAAACTCCTTTAAATATAACTGTTTACATTCTTTAACAAAATGACATGAAAAATGTACGTGTCATCGAATGACTTAAAGCCAACATTTTGCCGATAAGTAGATATTTTTTCGAGTGCACATTGCAAGAGTGTATGCTGTGTGAAGACATTGTGTACGAAGATTGTAAGAAAGAAAACTGTAAGAAAAATTGTCAAATTTTTCTATGTTGGTTTTGAGATACATATTCATGCATGGTAAGTAAAGGTTTCACCATTGCACACATCTGTGCTGACGCATCCATAGGCTTGTTTCTAACTCACTTATCCAGCGTCATTTTAAAGATAAATGTTAGAATTTGCAGATGACAGTGTGACTATGGGTGAAAGTGTGGATTGTAATGTTCACCTCATAAAGTAGAGCTAAACGTGTTGTATGTCATTACTTACTGCTGTTCCATGATCTTTTCCTGTGGGTTTTATTCGATGTTTGCAGCAAAGAGCAGCAGCGTTCAGCGAAGGCTATGTCAGTGTGGGAGCAGAGGACTAACCAGCTTAGGAGACATAACATAAAAACGAGCAGCGAGGCCCTGTACAACGAGCTCGACCCTGATGACCGCCTATTGATGTCCAGCGCCCTTCATCTGCACCCCGACATGAAGACTCACCTGGACAGGCCCCTTAGGGTGGAGTCCAAGAATGGAGACAAATCCAGCAGGGCCCCCGAGGGAGGGTGGGAGGAGGCAGGGGATCTCCGGCAGGATGACAACTTCCACACACACTCCAGGAAGCATCACCGCCACCACGACAGTAGCGGGGAGAGCAGAGATGAAGGAGATGTCCGGGGAGGGAGGCACCACACCCATCACAGCAGGAGCAGAGATCACAATGCTGATGGTCCACAGACAAAAGAGAGGAGAGGGGAGATGAGTCACAACCGCAATGGAGGGCAGGGGCACAGGCACCACCACCACCAGACCGGCTCCCCTGAGGAGGAAAATAATGACCTGCAGGGAGGAGGACGAGGAGGAGGAGATAATAAGGGGCATCACCACCATCACTCACATCGTCCACCTAAAGAGGGGAATGGGATGTTGGCAAATGGTGCACAGTCAGAGCAAAGGGGTAGAGGGGGAGGTGGAGGAGATAGTAATGGAGAGAGGAAGGACCGATGCTCTCGTACGGGCAGAGCTCAGACAGCTCTGGGTGGAGATGACTCTAAGAGGAACAAGAACGGAAACAGAGGTTACAGGTAAAGCTGCAGATTTTGTTGTTCATATAAAATGCTTCATTTTCAAAAATAATGACCTAATCTTTCAACTTAAACAACACACTATACTAATACACTTTATTTAAGTCGTAATGTGTCCAAATAACTTAATTAGGTGTATTTACCTCAGAATATGTCATAAATTATTGATTGACTAATGATTATCTCATTCACTGGCTGTTAGTTAGTTCTGACGTTTGATGATTATTTGACATCTTAAGTGTAAACAGTAATATGTAAGAAAATATGACATTTTATAATACATTTTTTTATAATACTTCTTCATCCCATTCGCTTTGGTCAAAAACCTTAGTGCAAATTTTGCTTTGTTATTGCTAAATGTGTAAATTAATAACTGTTTTCCATGTCAAGTTAAAAAGATGACACAACTCTGTGTCAGTGTTGCAAAAAAGTGAGTTTTTGCAGGTGGAAGTTCTGATTGCGTCTGTAACAACAGACACAGCCAACAAACACCAAAGTGCTTTTGCTTTTTTATTGTAATTTTCTGATGCAATGTGTTTTGAACAGAAGTTTTTATTATTGTTGGTTTCATCAGCACATTTAATATATTACTGCTCCCAAATACAAACTGCAGCTCAGTAAGATTAGATTTTCGCTCTGCTTCCCATTTCTTCATTCCACATCCATGACAACACTGTTTCTTTTTTCGTAAAGCCAGTTTTAGACAACAACCTATCTGAGTGGACATTACCAGCACTCCATGTGCCATTAATGGCCTTTACTTGTCATTCTCATTTGATGCTTGACCTCGAATCAAGTCAAATAATTAACTCCACCAAAATTGGTTTCTAAATAAGTTCAGCAAAAAATATGAAGACACAATTCTGCTGTCAGGTGTAGCTTCAGTCATAACTTGTCATAACTTAAAAAAACATTAATCCACTCTGAATTTCGTCTAAGGAGCGTGGAAAGAAAGCAACCTTTTCCCTGTGTGTGGGACAACTCCCACTAGGGATTAAATACCTGGGACTCTCCACCATTTGGTTCTAGAAGACCAAAGAAGCTTCTCAGATGAGAGGTGAAACCTCTTTAAGAAAATTAAAGGAGTCCAGCTGCTTTCTCTCGTGGATGACTGAGAGCCCACACAGACACACTTCGACTGTCTTGTTGTAGATCCAACTTTGAGGCCCATTTGTAGCCATCATCACTCCATGGGCGAATTGATCTTGTTAGCACATCTGCAACCTGGGTCAAATGGTTTTAGTTTGGGTTATGCACCCTATCATCATATTTTTGTTCTAGGAATTTAGTCAAGTTTATTCCATTGAAGAAATGACAAAAACATGAAGATTTATTCAAGAAGACCTATTATCTTTTTCACACAAAAAACCATAGTGTGGCTTTTATGGTCTGTATTTACTAAAACTGCCAGTTGAGGATCTGTGAGTCACCTGTACTTGTCCTTTTATTCACGCTGTTCAATAACATGTTATTTTTTTCTCCATGTATTCACCTTTCTTGGCCGTGTTTGGACTGTAATCAACTGCACAAAGACTGATACTTCAGATTAGTGGCTATGAAAACAGTCTGTGCTTGAGACTCTTGCAGTCATATGAATAATACGTTTTTACAGAACTGTATGCAGTCCTGGCAGAAAAACCCCCCAAAACGAGGTATATCTTAAACTCAGATTGTTTTGATTGTTTGGGGTTCCCAGGAGAAAGCTTCTTCTCTCTAAAGAGAACATGGCAACAAGGCTTAAATTTGAAAAGCTGCATCTCAATAAACCACAAGAAAGCTGGAACAATGTCAGATGACACCAAAGTGGAGGTCTTTGTCCACAATGCACAACACCACATATCAGCACAAACAGCTATAAAGCACAATGGTGGAGGGGTGATGATTTGGGCTTGTTTTACAGCCACAGGACCTGTACAGTATTTTTAACTGAACAAGAAGTCAGACATACAACAGAGCAGCTGAAAAATAAAAGAATCAAGTTGCTGCAATAGTCCAGTCAGACCTCAACCTGATTACAATGCTGTGGTGGGGCCTTATGAGAGCTGCTCATGAACACCTGAACTTATTTTATACACTGATACTATATGAAATTTGTGTTTTTAGAGCTACCTTGTGCTTCTTTGTACAAAAGGGAAAGGAAACAAAGTTTGGGGGTTTTTTTGTTTTGTTTTTTTACACTAAACCCATCTTTTTTTTCTCCAGGGAGATGGAGCCAGATGCTGAGGAGGAGAGCTTTACCTGCAGTCCTCAGCAGCCTACAGAGGATGTTGACAACCAGAAGAACTCCACTAGGGCCAGCCAGGCTGGCCTCAACAGCAATGCTATCCACATTCCTGTCACCATCACTGCCCCGCCTGGAGAAACCACCATCATACCCAGTGAGCATAGTGTGTTACTGAGACGGGAGGTGGGGAAGGATAGGGAGGTTAAACATATTTGTGTTATATTAGTTATCACTGTGTTACAAAGTTCAATCAAAAGTCCCCACATCTCGTGATTAGCAAAGAATCAAATGAGTGAGTAGACTTTTATCACACATATAAAAGCAGCCAAATATCCTAAAATACAAATTGGATGACTTTTTTTTTTACCTTTTTAATCTGAAGGAGGAAAAAAGAAAATTTAACTTTTTTATTCAGAAATACTGCATCTCTTCAAGGTGTCTGTAAAAGTATGTGTACTTGTTTGTGAGCTAAGTTAATATTCTTCCATGTGCGAAAAACAGTTTTTCATAACATAGCTGTCACACTTAATCTTGACCCTGCAACCACGATCTTATGAGAAATGTCTAATTAGTGAAATGATGTGTTGTATATTTCTGTGAAGCGCAGCTATAAAATGCCTAAAGAAACTAAAAGCCTGCATTTAACATCCATAGAAAATACCTCACTTTTTACGGTCTGTGCTTCTTTGAGCTAAATGAGCGTATTTGTTTTTGCGCATCAGTGAACAACATCGACTGTGACAACCTGCAGCTCAGTGAGGAGAAGAAAGATCTGGAAGAGGACGAGGCAGCTAATGGGCCTCGGCAGATCCTTCCCTACAGCTCAATGTTCATCTTCGGCCAAACAAACCCGTAAGTTGCGAGGTGACTCAGCGGACTGGCGTGGGGTTAGCATAAACAGCATATTGAGAATTAAAAGCTTTAATTGATTTCATTCAGGTTCCTCTTTAAAGCACTGAAACAGTCAGTGGTTTGCTTATGTCTGACTCTTTAGTGGTTAATAACAAATCACCGTTATTCTCACTTGTCATGCTTAAATAAATCCTTTCTCTTTGGGGTATTTCATGCCTCACCTACACACAAAGGCAACAGTCACTCCCAGAAGTGGAGCTCTGGGTGTAGCTTCAATTTGGAGTCATTTTCTCTGTGAGGACCTGTTTTGGGGAGGAAAGCAGCAACTGCAAATATACAGTACTGTGCAAAGGTTCTTGAACCATCCCTCATTTGTTTTCATTTTGCTCCCACGCAGTTTCTTGTAATTTCTTTTAAAGTGGTCACGGGCAATATTTTCCAGGCTTTCCAAAGGTCTTCCAAGGCTCTTCTTTGGACATTTGCTGCTTTTTGGATCCTTTTCTCTTCGCCCAATTAGAACATTACTTCTTGTGCATCCTGGGGTAAATTCTAGCTGAGTAACTGGAAGGTGCCACCTCAAATTCGAGGCCATTGGACGCTCAAGTGGTCTCAAGATCTTATAGACAAGTGAGCTAAAGCATGGCTAGTTAAAATTTCAGCCTTAAGCTTTTAAGATTTAACACAAGAATTGAATCATAGTCAGGATAAAATGCAGATGCTATAGTAATGCTAATGCTATAAATTAAGAAAAATAATAATGCTATAAATACGCAGATGCTCTATAGCTCTGTGAAACGGCATAGTTCAGCGGCAGATTCATTCCCTACCTTCATGTATTGTTTTGGATATGCATTTGTCCACAGCCTGTTATGGAAGGATGTCACTTGAAAGCACCTTGTGAGCTGTCACTGCTAAGCGTGTAGTACATTTGCTCGAGTTTGTGCGTGCGTGTGTTTATATGTTGGTCTTGCAGGGTGCGACGGCTGTGTCACTATGTGGTCAACCTACGCTACTTTGAAATGTGCATCCTGACGGTCATTACCATGAGCAGCATCGCCCTGGCAGCTGAGGACCCCGTGCAAGCCAATGCGACGCGCAACGATGTGAGTCAGGCCTACATCAAGACTTCATAAATAAACATCTGGAAGTACACAGCAAACACACTTGTTGTCAGACAGATAAACACACATGGACAAGTATATGCATGAAAACATGCAGGCTAGCACAGGCCGGATGAGGATTCACACATAAACACGTCTCATTTGGGCTGACTGACTGATTCATTTGGACCGATTGAGAAGTTCTTCCTAACAGGATCTGACAGTTTATCCATGTTGAGGAATGAGTGGTAGGAGGCACAAAAACAAACTTTTAATCATTTCTTGGTGAAATAACTGATTCGCAAGTGGTTCAGAGCCAAAAATCCAGTAACTATCCTGTTTTTGTATTCTTTACATCCCTGTGTGATATGTCAGCCCATGCTGGGAATAAGGATGATTTTTTTGTTTTGTTTTGACAGACGAGCACAGCTAGTTAGTATTGTAGTCAGGGGTGCAGAGGGAAACTGTGTGTGTGTGTGTGTGTGTGTGTGTGTGTGTGTGTGTGTGTGTGTGTGTGTGTGTGTGTGTGTGTGTGTGTGTGTGTGTTAGTTTTTGGTGAGCGTGTGTGCCTGTTGTGAGGTGTTAAGGTAATGTGTATCTATGCAGTACAGTGCAAAGCTGACAGAGTTTGAGATCTTTGGCAGGACATAGGAACACGTTGTGCATATCTGGTCCATTCTTACACACATATACACACACCCTTTCAAAGACTGAAAACATCTGTCACTGGGTCTGTTAGTGAGTCATTTTAAAGGATATTTCCTTATTGCTTAACTTTTTGTAGGTTCTCAAGTACCTGGATTATGTCTTCACTGGAGTCTTCACCTTTGAGATGGTGATTAAGGTGAGAAGGATGGAAAAATCAAGGTACATTTTCATTCGAGCCGCATGAGCTATGAAAACCTGCTGTGCAAGATTTTAGTCAAACGTCTACAACATCTGTGGTGAGCTAAATGTAAAGATTGCCTTGATCAACACTCAACAAAGCTAAAAACACAATCACAAAGTAATAAAACTACATTGACACTTTCTCCAAAAATATTGCATTGGTATAATACTTGATAGATGCCTTGATCGCTAAAATACAGAAAATTATTTGATGCATGCATCATCAAAAAAAAGCATATTCAGAAGCAAGCATGTCACTCTCATAATCAGCTGCTTACATCCTATTGCCTTTAACTGTTCTGTTACAACGTGTAGCATGTCTTTCTCTACTTTGATAGTGGTATTTTTTAAGCTGCTGCAAGAACCAAAATAATCCAAGTCAGAGTCCTGGAGATTTGAACCTAAAACAGAAGCTAGACACCCCGCTACAAGGAAGAATATTTGGGTTTTGCATCACTTAATAATGTAAACTGGCTCACAGACTTCTCCATAATAATTAGTCCAATTAGGAAGGAGCAGGAATAGTTTCATGACAGACATTATTTTCTGTCAGCTTGAAGATTCTGTCTTTTTCTGGATATATGCACTGTTTACTTATATAGTATAAGATACATATAAATCTGTTTCAGTTTTTTTTTTTTTTTTTAAATCTAATAAGGATTTGTTTCATAATGAGCTTTCGTCATTTTTAACCAAATTTAGCTTGTTAGATTTATTTTTACTTTATGCTTTTGACCTGCTTATAACCACATCTGAGCTTTAATGAAAAGGCCAGCAAACTGTGGATAGCATGTCACTGACATCACTAATTGGCTTTGTGGTTTTACGTGGAGATAACACTCCATCCCAATGTGTCTAATTTAATTCTGTAATTCCATCACTCTCTGCGACTCCAGATGATTGACCTGGGACTGCTTCTCCACCCTGGCTCTTATTTCCGTGACCTGTGGAATATTCTGGACTTCATCGTGGTCAGCGGAGCTCTGGTGGCCTTTGCCTGCTCGTGAGTCAACTTTCCCTTGAATTTTTTTCTGTTCATTATTTTATCATCCCAGCAGTGCTTGAATATAATGTACACCAACCACATAACAAGATGTGGAAACCATCATCATTAAAACGCCAAATGGTTTGTTTTGTTGCCTCCTCTCAACTATCCAGTGGACGAGCATTATGAATTTTAATGTGCTCGTCTTATTGTTTTCCCATGAATTCCAAGACTTTTGTGTTGCCCAGCGGTTATTTTGCTGCCATGATTATGTTACATAAAGTCTTCACAGCCCCTCCCTGCTAGTTGGCTAATAGGTCATGCACAATTTGGCTGATAGGTTTAAGGCTCAGGTGGAGACAGAAGGACAGGATTTTCCCATGACTGTCAGGCTCTAGCTGCCATCTAGTTGGTACTTTGGATTTAATGCCTTATACAGAATCTGCTTTTTGAATATTCATTTTCTTCTTAGTGGAGTAGAAGTTCGAACATAGTATGGATCATAGACTGTATATAAAACACTGCATCAACTTATTTACATTGTGCATGAGTTATATATGAATGAGTTTAGGGAAGGTAACAATGTTTACACACATCTTTTCTATACATTCTGTAAAATGTTTATGTCATTTGCTAGTTTTACGTCTTATTTAATATTGTCAGGTATTTATTTTAAATATATGGTCGGATTGATGATAAAGAAGGCCATTACCATCTTGTCATAGACAATTCACTAGAATGCTCATGTTTAGGCTTCAAAACAATGGCGTAAACCATTAGGTGATAACATGGTGGCCATGTTTTGTCCTTTTTTATATACAGTCAATGGCATGGTTATAAGAACCACACTGTTTACAGTGTTGTGAGAAAGTATTTGCCCCCTTCCTGATTTCCTAATTTTTACACATTTGTACATGTTTCAGATAATCAAATAAATTTTAATTGCGAATAACCCCACGTAATTACAAAATTCATTTTTCTGTTTTTTCAGATGATGATTTAATTTATGAATGGGAAAGTTATCCAAACCTACCTGGCCCCATGTGAAAAAGTAACCTGAAATCAAGTGTTTACGTGGCAATGAGTTTTTCATTTGCTGTGGAGGAATTTTGGCTCACTCTTCTTTGCTGAATTGTTTTGATTCAGCCACTTTGGAGGGTTTTTCGAGCATAAACGGCCTGTTTAATGTCATGCCAAAGCACATCAATTTGATTGAAGTCCAGACTTTGATTAGTCCACTCCAAAACCTCCATTTCTTGTCTGGATTTTTTTTGAGCCGTTCAGATGTGGACTCACTGAATATCCCAAGTTAACTTGAGTTACAACGCTTGTCTCGTCAGTCCACAGAATATTTTGTCAAAAGTCTTGGACACCATCAAGATGTTTTCTCTCAAATGTGAAATGAGCTTTTGTGTTCTTGTTGGCTAGCAGTGGTTTTCTCCTTGAACACTCCCATGGGTTTTTCCCAGTATCTATCTTATTTTTAAATTATGAACTCTGACCTTAACTGACGCGAGTCCTGCGGTTCTTTAGATATTGTTCTGGGTTGTTTTGTGGCCTCCTTGATACTGTAAGTCATCAATGCACTCTTGAAGTACTTTTGATAGACTGGTCACTCCTGAAGGTTCAGCACTGTTATAAGTTTTCTCCATTTGTGGATAATGGGTCTCAGCGTGATTCGCTGGAGCTCTAAAGCCTTAGAAATGGCTTTGTGACCCATTCCAGAGTTATAGATGTCAATGACTTTGTTTCTCAGCTGTTTCTTTCAGCTGTGCCACGATGTGATGTGGTTAATCACAGAAAGATTCATGATTTAGCAAGTGGGACACTTTTTTTCACATAGAGCCAGTTAGGTTTGCATAGCTTTCCCTCCCTTAATCAATGAAATAATAGAAATGTAAAAACTACATTTTGCATTTACTTGGGTTATTTTTATTTAATACAAAAATTTAGGTAAAAGAAGAAACTCTGGAAAGGCGCCAGATTTTTTCCATTGCATTTTTTTTATTGTATAACCTGCCCTTAGATACTGTGGTGTAAGTCAAAATTAAATCCCCACTTGCACTGTAATCTAAGTGGAATTGACTCCTTATTGGTGAGCATTCTTACTGGTATCAGTAGACTTATTCTTGTTACCTGTATTTCAGTATATCTCAGTATACAACTGGTTTGGAAATCATGTAAATAAATGTTTTCCAAAGCCAGAGGAGTTCTGGGTCTCTTGAGAAAGCTGGTGATCACACATTTTGTTTTGAACAATGTTTTCAGGGGTTTTTTGCCACTATTTCACACACTGACTGAAACTCTCCACAGTTGCTTGTCACGTGTGTTTTTCTTTGTAACGCTTTCTGTCTCGGATTTCTCTTTTTCCCTTTTTTTGTCTTTTGCCAGCACTAGGTTGATGCTTGTCTCTGTCTTTTATCTGTTGCTGACTCTTTCTCTGTATTCTCTCTGTCACTTTTTCTCTTTCTTCTTTGTTTTCTGGCTTGGATTGCTTTCAGGAGCCTTATGGGGTAATGCCTGCTCTTTCTGTCAGTCTGTCTGTTTATTCATGTGCATATCTGCCCGTTTGAATCACTTTTTCTCCACCTTAGCTCGTGGTATTTTCAGCAAGGTGTTGTTTTTTGTCTTCTCACAGCTAAATGTTTTGCACAAATGTCATATTTTGTTACTTTCTATTTTTATCATTGCCACCACAGTCACGATTAAAGACATTGCATTTCCTCTGTTTGTGTTATGTAACTATGTTGTGTTACATCTGTATTCGGGTTACATAAGAGCAATTACCCGTTTTCCATTTATTGGACATATTTTATGTGTGTTAGAAGCTACAATGTACACAGTGCACAGTGGACCAGTGCTGAGATTGAACAAAACACTGCTTCAAAAACATATCAGACGTTTGAGCTTTCATAGGGTGATTCAGGTCATTATGAACACAAAGAAACTGAATGATGCTGCTTATAATAACGACGCAAATAAATAAAAGAGCTAAATAAAAACTATTAAACAGAGTGAATAATAGATGAAGGATTTTCTTACCAATAATGCACAGTTAATGATATTCAGGAGTTATCAAATTGAACCCCTTCATCCCTCCATTCAGCTTTCACTTGCTGTCTGGCATTTTGTTTCTCCCGTCAGCTCTGTAATCAACTCTCAATCACACCAATCAACCATGTAAGAGGCTCCATTCACAGCACCAGGTCTAATGGATAGATGTGATACCTGACAACCTACATTTTATTTTTATTTAGATCTTATTTTCATACTTAATCTAAACAGGAAAAGGAAGGCAAGTTGTAAACCTGTTACCCAAACTGTCTGTTTTGAAACATCCAACACAGTTACTGCTTTGTGTTTTTGAAGGCGCTTACTTTAGGATTAATGTCTAGATATAAAAGGATTTTATATATTAATATTGTGTTTCAACTGAAAGGTCAAAATTTATTTAAAAACCGCTAATCATTTATTTAAGCTCAGTTTTTGAAACCTTAGGATGTAACTACAGCCCAGCCCATGCAGCAGTATATGAATGACTAACCTCGTATTGTGGATGGATTATCTCAGTTGTTCTCCTGGCTGAAGTTTGGTCCTTTTACAGCATCCTTCATGCGATTACATTTGTTCCTGACCACCGAGAACCCTCACGTTAACATTTATCCAGTGGAAAAAAGGTTAGCTGTTTATATTATGCTAGCATAGCTGTGTCGCTCGCTAGTGGTCACGTAGCACATCATTATATACCAGCTAGCCAAACTTCAGTAACCCTACAAACGTCACTGCTGTTTAGTTTTCTGTCTTCATTTATGCTGGAAGTGATAAGAAAGCTGTACGTTTTAATTTGTTTCCAGACAGGACATGCTATATTGTATTTAGATAGAAGCTAGCGAGCTAACTCCCTGCTAACTTCTAACTCCGTTAAATGTCATAAATTCCGTTTTCATGGATGCCTGGATGTTAAACTCAATTGTTACACCTGGTAGAGCAGAACGCTGATCATTTTATTAAAGATGAAAGACTTTAGACAGTTTTTCAACTCTCAGTAATGCCATAGTGATCGTTTGATATATGGACCTGCAGCGGAGTTTAGACCCAGACACGGCAAGTGACGTCAGACTTAACGACCGGATTGCTTGTTTTTAGTCTTATTTAATACTGTATGATGCTAAGTTTGAAAATTATGGCACTCACTATTAGTAAAAAGGACAATAAAGCTTTAGTAATTGAATAATTACTCGTTTTTGAGCGAGAGATGCTCAGCTCTCAGACAGGTCCACAGCTTGATTATCACTTTCAAGCGAGATGGCTACGGCAAAACTGCTCTGCTTGAGGCTTCAAAACAGTAGTCCACAAACTAATGGGTAATGGTACTGTTGCTACATGCGTCTTTTATATACAATTTGTGGAGATCAAGCTAACATGTAGCCACTAATCAGCCACAGCTTAAAAATGATAAAACTGTCAAACAATTGTATTCACAGAAAATGTAAAACTCAAAGACACATATTTACAAAATGTTTTCATTTGCTTCAGAAATGGTTAAATGCAAATACCAGTATAACACTCTGTAACATTATTACCTTTATTATTATGTTGCATTTTATACTAATTTTCTAAAATATTTTCCGCAGCAGTAGTAATGCACCACATGATCAGAGTATAGCTGCATTGGTGTCTTGGCTCCATACCCATGATCTTCAGCATACTAAAACACTGCAATGTAACAGAATTACTGTAGGACCACATTTCTTAACTCCAGAGTATATGTAGTCAGTCATGACATTATAATCATCTTCATGTCATCAGTTTGATTTTCCCTCATATTCAGTATCCACAAACACTATTTCTTCCAAATATTTTATCCAGCTTATCTTGCTTTAAAAGGGTGTTTACTTTAAATTTACTTAAAAGTCACTTTTTTGTCTCTTATCTTTGCTTTCTTTTGATGTGTTTTGAAGTTTGAACCACCAAAATTGTCACTATATCTTCACGCCTGGGTGATATCTGTGTAAAGTGTTTATTTTGCTCTGTCTTGCTTTACATGCTGCTGTCTGTCTTTGTGTATTGTCTGCGTGCATATGCTTATCATTTCTTTTCCCCATCAGATCGCAACAAAGCGTGGCCAGGTGGGAATTGTCAGTATCTACTTTTTTTCTTTTTAACCCCTCGTACCCTTTTGCCCTCCTCATGTGAAACACAGAACATTCCTCTTATCAGCCTCCGAGGTTTACGTTGTCGCCCTTCATCCCAAAGTGCTTGGGATGTGACTCCCTTCCCTCCTCGCTTTCCCTCCCTTTTATAAACCTTTTCTCCTGTCCCAGTATTGGGAAATCAAGACAAAAAGGAAATATTGGGAGCTCTCCCTCATAGCTTTCAGAAGTTAATCAACACACAGACGGGGATTTGGGCTGCAGGAATCTGAAACTCAGGTTATCAGTTGTATCAAAACTTAACTCCTTACCTATCCTCTCAGTTTTCTCTTTTAATCATGACTAAAGTCAATTTAATCGGTTAAATGTCCAAGAGATTACCAACCTCCACCTTCATCTCTTCTTCTTTACAATGTAGCTTGCCATCACCAGTGTGTGAATGTGTGCATGAATGGGTGGATGACTGGATATGTAAAGCGCTTTGGGGTCCTTAGGGACTAGTAAGGCGCTATATAAATACAGGCCATTTACCATTTACCATCTCTTCTTCTTTATGCCTATGGAATTAGAGGGCAGCCAATAAAGGAATATAGCTTCTCTCATGAATTCACCTTAAATAATTTTTTTAATTTGTTCCTCACAGCCTGTCGTGTTTGTAAGGAAAATCACAATAGACATCTGTTTTTCTCTGTTAAAAGAGAGTTTTTGCTTTGTTAATATTTGTTTTTGAAAAAGACAGAATTTTAGAGTATGCCATATTTTTAACCTTTTAAAAATGTTTCTGAATAAATGGAAGTAGCGGATCGGGCTACACTGGGTGAAGAGTGTGTTAACAGTGTCCTCTTGCAATGTTGTAGATTTGAAAATACTCCCATTAGTAGAAATCAAAGAGGAAAATGGAGAAAATATGCAAACCAGCTGCTGCTATGCACTAGAGGCTCTAAATGAACACTAGAAAGGCTGACCTATGATACGGATTGTGTTGGAGATATTTTTTAAAATGTGATTTTGACCTGCATTTTCAGCTTTTGCTAATAGTCAAAGAAAACCTTCACTATTACCATTAAAATGGGAAATTAATAAGCCAAACATACATTATACAAAATTCCTCAAGAACTTTGAATCCTCTGTAAATTTTGAAACAGAGAGCAGGAGCTTTGCGCATCCGATTTTGCTGATGCAGCTTTAGACGTCAGATGTTACGAGTCTGAACAGGAAATCTTCTCTTTCATGAGCGAGCAGCGGCTACAGAAGTTAAGCTACTCCAGATGACCTCATGTGTGGCTGCTGAATACGTTGCAATCACCGCTGATGTGTGCTGCATTGACGTGAAAACACAAACTCCCCGCCCGTGCGCTTCTGAAAGCTATTGGGAGACTGTTCTTGCCATCTCAATGTGTTGAGGTCCTTAAAAAGCAGGACTGGCATTGACTTTGCAAATTGCATGCCAGAGTATCCAAGTTATACAAGCATGAGAGCCGCATGCCGTTTTGTTAGATTTTTTTATTGAGAATTTGAAAGGCCCCCAGGGCCAGAATTTTTTGGAACCATGCTTCTCTCCGGTTTGAGTTCTGTCCTTCCCTCGCCAGTCACCACATATTAAAAAAATAGCCATGTTCATTATTCTGGTGGGTTTCTCTGAGTCCCCTAGTACCTAATAACAATCCTTTCTTTTTAATGAGACCCTGTAAAGCGCTGACATACTGACCTGGGTCTGTGCGAGTGTGTCTGTGCTTGTCCAGCTACCTTAATGAGGACCATTTTCACTTTGGGAGCATTAGAGCAAGAACAATCTGTAGAGGAACTTTTTGTCCTGTCCTCACTTCTCCAAAGGTCTTTTAAGGTTGGGTTTTAGGGTTGCTGAGAGGTTTAGACACAGTTAGGGTGGTAAAAATAGGTAAGCACACTATGAGCCAGGAAAAGGTATTGAAGAAGGCATTACTGTATGTTAAAACTTTGTAGCTTTGTTTCTACATTTTCTTTTTGTTTGCCTGTATCTTATTTTTATTCTTGCTGCAAGACTAATTCTAATGTGCCAAGAGGCTAGCCTCCAGGTAATGACCCAAAAAGAAGACACAAGAGGGAAGGATTGTGCTCTAAATTTAATGTGTATTTTTTGGAAATATGCCTTTTACTATTACAGGTCGAGGACATCTTAGGCTAGTATGCTAATATTTAAAGCTTGTGATATGCTGTTGGGTATCTCGAACTAATAAACTTTCCAGACAGGAATAAACCAAAAGTTTGAGTTCTTTACAGAACTCTTCATATAAAATGCACTCACCTGCCACTTTGTTAGGTACACCTGTTCAACTTCTAAATAAGTAACTATTCAGCCAATCACATTGCAATGACTCAGTGCATTGAGGGGTGTAGACATGATTGATACAACCTGCTAAACTTCAAACCAAGCATCAGAATGGGGGAAAATGTGATTTAAGTGACTGATCAACAGATATAATGAATGCTTATCTACTGGGATTTTACCATGCAGGCAGGGTTTACAGAGAATATTCTGGAAAAGATTAAATCTCCAGTGAACAGTAGTTTTCTGAGCAAAAATGCCTTATTGGTGTCAAAGATCAGGGGAGAATGGCCACACTGCTACCAGGTTATAGAAAAGAAAGAGTAACACAAATATCCAGTTGTTACAACCAAGCAATGCAGAACTAGTTGATGCTTAAAGTACATGGGCTCCATGAGCAGAAGAACGCACCGCGGTAAATATAGTCTCAGGAAACTGAGACTATATATCCAAACGTTAGGCTGCTGGTGGTGTAACGGTGTGGGGGGATATCTTCTTGGTACCTTTTTTTTTTTACACTTTACCAATTAAACACCACAGCCTACCCGAGTAATTTTGCTGACATTGTCCATGCCTTCTTGAGCACACACAGTGGTCAACAGGATAACACTCCATGTCACAAAACTCACATCATCTCCAACTGGTTTCTTGAACATTACACTGTACTGTACTCAAGTGGTCCTCTACAGCAGCGGTCCCCAACCCCCGGGCCTCAGACCGGTACCGGTCCGTGAGTCGTTTGGTACCGGGCCGCGAGAGTTGAGGCTCAGGTGTGAAATGTATGGTTTTCAGGGTTTTTATCGGTTTTCAGCGTTATTTTGTTATCGTTTTTATCATTAACTCGGTTTTCCTGGGTCTTTTCACGTGTGTTATGAATAAATATTCTTTTTTTCGGTACCAATACTAGTTTTATTTTGTTGTATTTATCCGCGACACCTCCGTGAAAATATTGTCGGGCATAAACCGGTCCGTGCCGCAAAAAAGGTTGGGGACCGCTGCTCTACAGCCACCAGATTACAATCCAGTAGAGCTTCTTTGGGATGTGGTAGAACAGGAGATATGCATGATGGATATACAGTTGACACCCACAATGCGTGTCACTAATTAATTAAAAATCCTTCACACTCAAACTATCCTTGGCCAGTGTCACTCTGTGAATGATGGCTCGACTGTATGTCATTATCATGATGGCTAGTTTTTAAACCCCCACACTCACTTCCCATAAATAGTGAGCAAAACGTGCAACGTCTGCAGTGACAGCAGTGGTTCCTGCAAAGAAACTGCCTCCTGCACCTGCGGCAGATTCTTTGTGCATTTACTGTAAAAATGTATGATTTTGTGTGTTATTAAACAGAAACAATGCTAATTTGTATTGTGGAAGAAGCATCGAAGGAAGCAATACCTGGAACAATTCACTACCAGACATAGTCCTTCAATGAAAACTTGAAGTATGGAATGAAAAGGGTGTAATTTCACTGTTGTGTGAATAGCTTTTGTTGTGGATTTTGAAGATGGAAAAAACAGACCAAAGGAAAGATTAAAGGAAAAGAAAACAAGAACAAAGGGAAAGAAAATGAAAAGAGGCTTAAAAAGGGGTTTGGAAGAAAATACATTATAACAAGAAACAGAAAAATAAACAGAAAATACACTGAAGCATGTAAGAAACAAACAAAAAAGAAGGTCAGAATCTTCAAAGAAAGAAAATATTGAATGTCAGGAAGGTGTGGAGGGAAGGGATGACTGAATGATGGAATGAAGAAGCGGAGGGAGGGCAATAAGGAAGGAAAAAGGAAAAGGATTAAGAAAGGAAGGCAGGAAAGAAAGGAAGTGGTTTTAGAAACAAGATCAGGACAATGGGAAAAGATAATAGAAGGAAATAAGGTTAGAAGGAAGGAAAAAATAAAGATGGAAAGATAGAATAAGGAAAAGAAAGAATTAAGAAAGCTGGGGATGGACTACAACAAGGGGGAGAGAAGAAGGGGAGGAAGGAAGGAAAAGAAAAAGCGATGAAAGGAAGGATACGAGGTTTGGAAGAAAGAAAGGGCAGCAGGTTTCAGGGAAACAAGGAAGGAGGGGTGTTAGGACAAGGAAGGTAGAAAAGAAGATTTGAAGAAAAGAGGCATAGTAAGGAGTTATACTGGGAGGAAAGAAGGGCATTAAGAGAAGGGAGAGGAGGGGAAGACAACAAGGAAGAAGAATAAGTGAGAAAGGGAAGAAAGGTAGGAAGGGAAAGAAGCATCAATGAAAAGACAAAAAGGATGAAATAAAAGGAAGAAAGGAAGTAGATATAGAAACAAGGAGAGGAAGGAATGATGAAAAGACAGGAGGATAAGAAGGAAAGAAGGAAGGGGGAAGGTAGAAAGGAAACATGTCTTCCCAATGTGATGTTTATGTAAAGTTTGGTCAGAAGGTTCCTTTGTAAGTGCGCATGCGCCATTAGCGTGCTGCCTGCTGTAACCCCTAATTTCCTTCGGGATTAATAAAATATTCTGATTCTGAAATAAGGAAGAAAGGCAGAGAAATAGATAGGAAGGAAAGGAGCTAAGGAAAAAGGAAGGAAAACTAGGAAGGAAGATGTGGGAACAGAAAAGAGAACATAATGAGTCTGTGAAGGTTCTCAGTCATCCAGGTCACCGTAGTCAAAGATGACCTGGATGATTGAGAAAAGCGTCAAAGTCCAGACGCTTTTCTTTGCAAGCTCCTTTGAGAACATAATGAGATTCACACATCTTAAAAGATGCGTGAAGTTGTAGGAATGAAAGAAAAAAAAAACAATAAAAAGAAAACAAAGCAGCCAAAGGGAAGATCAGAAAAAAGGAAAAGAAAGGGAGTAATTACAAAAGTATCTCGATAAGAAGAGAAGACTGGTGAAGCATGTTTCTGTAGAATAACATACCTCACTCACATGCATGTGTTCTACTAACAGAATATATGCATCCTACAATATAAACCTGGTGAAGTGCAGTCAGTTCTTGTTAATGCAGCCTGAGTTGAAAGGGTTTAGAGTGTCATTGCACTACATCACCCAGACTAACTGTACTCTCAATCTGCACAGAGGGACAAAAGGCAAGGACATCAACACTATCAAGTCCCTGAGGGTCCTCCGGGTCCTGCGGCCACTCAAGACCATTAAACGGCTGCCCAAACTGAAGGTACGGTAATCAAATCTGTCACAGATCGTTCTGTAAGTCTGTAAGAAAAACCAAAAACCCACAGAGCACCCAAACAGTCCCGATCCGCCACAATATGAAACAGGAAAATACCACCGTGTAATCCATTTATTTCAACAAAGCAACTGTATTCTAAATACCACCTTTTTAAACGGTAACTGTAACGGAATACAGTTACTCATATTTTGTATTTTAAATACGTAACGGCGGTACATGTATTCCGTTACTCCCCAACACTGTAGATAGACCTGCCACCGCACAGTTTAAACCATTCTGAACATCGAAAGTCTACAAGAATCAGTGGAACAACACAACTAACACATTTGAATCCTGGTTTGTCTGTTGATCAGCTTGCTCTATTCAGCACTTCATGCCTCCTACTTATACACCCCTGACACATTCGTGCACACAATCGAGAGGCAGTCAAAGTCTCCAGAAACCTACTCTACCATATCAGACATGAAAAGTTTGATTTTTGCTTGATTTTTTGCTTAGATACTGAATTTTATATTCTGTGTCTTACACGCCTACAGTAGGCGAGTACTTGGTTCTCGAAGGAGTTTTGTGGCAATTAACAATGAAACACATACTTAATGCACTGTAACACATTACACTGATGATTTCTCATTGTTTAGCCAATGTTTTATGACTTATGCGATATATTTAATCATTTGGACGTGATTGCTGCATTTGCAGTGTTAATAGTTTGACTTATTTGGTGCTCACTTACCTGTCAGCCTTGAGCTGGCAGCTATTCCTCTTTTGTTTGTGATGAATTGGCAATTATTTCAAATTGAGTTTGCAGAAACTGGGTTACCGCAGAAGTGAAGTCTGTTCTTCTCTATTTGTCTTCCATCTTCATTAAAATATGTTTAAATTGTGTGTTTCTAAAAAAAGAAAAAAGAAAATCACTTAATTTAAAGAAAAAAAGGTGGTGTTTTTTTATGTGGATTTACAAAAACTCCTAGGATTACATGTCCTCATTATTGGAGGTGTTGTGCTAATTATACTGAGCTTATGGAGAATTGATTACTGCAGAGAGTTTTGAAGATCTTTAAAATCAATAGTTAGAATTTATATAATATATTACCATGATGCAGCTATTATAAAGATATATATTATAAAGAATTACACTGGGAGCACAATGCTGTATAGAATCCTGTTTTCCTCAATTGTTGTCTCAGACACAGAAATGACAGCTTTCCTCTGCTGTGTGGACAAAAGTATGTGTCAAAAGAGGAGAGATCTGATTGGGCTAATAAAAGTGAGATGATTGAGACAGATCGAAGGTGGCAGACAGACGCCCATCCAAAGCTCTTCTTGGATACTTAGGGAGAGTGGTTTGACAGGACAGTCTGGTTAAAGTACCTCTGTCTTCACTCTGGTTTAAGAGCAGCCTCGATGGGAGTCACTCAAGTAGCAGATATTCACTGGTTACATTGCATACATGTCAGAATGGATCGACAAAGCACTTCATCTCTCAAAGAGATCCCAGCACAAGCTGACAGAGATAGTGACAGGCACAGACTGCTGTTTGCAGGTGGGAGATGGGAAAGAAATCTGGGTTTAGAACAAGGCTGACTGTGTCCGCAAAGTGGCCCTTCTAGATCAGCGGTCCCCAACCCCCGGGCCTCAGACCAGTACCGGTCCGTGAGTCGTTTGGTACCGGACTGCGAGAGTTGAGGCTCAGGTGTGAAATGTATAGTTTTCAAGGGTTTTATCGGTTTTCAGCGTTATTTTGTTATCGTTTTTATCATTTACTCAGTTTTCCTTGGTCTTTTCACGTGTGTTATGAATAAATTTTCTTTTTTTCGGTACGGGTACTAGTTTTTTTTCGTTGAATTTATCCGCGACACCTTAAAGGCCGGTCCATGAAAATATTGTCGGGCATAAACCGGTCCGTGGCGCAAAAAAGGTTGGGGACCGCTGGTCTAGATTACATTTGATCCAGATTACTAGTGAGACTACAACAGCTTTTCATTCAGAAACAAAGCCATCTAATAGAAATCGTTGGTTTATGAATATAATCTTTGTTTAAAGTGAATATGTCAGCATTACAAACAGAATTGAAATGTCATCCCAGTAGTGTGAATTTGTTTAGGTGATGTCTAGCAGACAGCTAGCAACTGTATCGTCCCCGTTTCTGCACCAACCTGCCCGTCAAAGCTGCTACATCTCTAATAATGCATCATTTTGAACTGTAAAATAATGTTTCAGCTGCTTCCTTATTCACAAGGGTTCACCACACAGGGTTTTTATACCAGGTCTCCTTCCTGATGCAAGGTTGCATCAGGAAGGAGACCTGGCGACCCCTTGTGGTTAAGCCAAAAATAGCACAACTTTAAATATTTATAAAATTTAAATTGTTTCATGAAGGAGTAAATAAAATATAGAAATAAAAACAGTTTTTTAGAATCAGCCTGTAAACATGTATTGTTCCTTTAAAGTCGGGCATTTTAACAGAGTCTCTGTGCACTGACTGTCTTTCGGAGGCAGCCTCAAGTGGCCATGAGAGGTACTGCATGTTGCTTGCCACTTTTGTGATGACTGGAGGTTACAGTCGGGAAGATACACATAAATACCTTACCATTAATTCAATCCAATTAGTTTAATTTCTATTCTATTCTCTTTATATAGTATAAATTTTTTTAAAAAACTGCATGCATTATGCTGTAAAGACCCTACAATGTTAGAATGAAATCGCAACAATCACATGACTCCCTATGAGCAAGCACCTGACAACAGTGGGAAGGAAAAACTCCCCTTTAACAGGAAGAAACCTCTCACAGAGGCAGCCATACAACGTAAAACACACAGAGAGTGAAAAGAGCCCTAATAATATGCCTTGTCAGAAAGGAAAGCTTGAAAGTTGTCTCGAGGTTGTCCGAATGCAAACTGGGAGCTGGTTCCATAATAAGGGGCCTGAAAGCTGAAGGCTCTGCCTCCCATTCTACTTTCAAATACTCTAGGAGTCACAAGTAGGCCTTGAGCCTGAGAGCAAAGCACTCTGTTAGGATAATAAGGTACTGTGAGGGGTTTAGATGTGACAGGCCTGATTAGTCAAGAACTTTACAGTTCTGTGTGTGTGCTTGTGTGTGTGTTTCTCAGGCTGTATTCGACTGCGTTGTAAACTCTCTGAAGAACGTCCTCAACATCCTCATCGTCTACATCCTCTTCATGTTCATCTTTGCTGTGATTGCTGTTCAGCTCTTTAAGGGGAAATTTTTCTACTGCAGTGACGAGTCCAAGACCCTGGAGAAAGACTGCAGGTACGTTTATATTACTGTTTTTATTACTGTTGTCTATTCTAACTACATCTTCCTCCTCCACTTTTTTCTCCTTTTTTTGTCACATCTTTTCAACTAATTCTGTCTGTCTTCTTGCTTTCAGGGGTCAGTTTTTGGACTACGACAGGGATGAAGTAACGGCGAAGCCCAGAGTATGGAAGAAGTATGAGTTTCACTATGATAACGTGCTGTGGGCTTTTCTAACACTCTTCACCGTCTCCACTGGAGAGGGCTGGCCAGTGTAAGTCAGGACAGCCTGCATATCATTTTCAGTAGCACCTAGATGGAGGTCCAAGTGGTTTTTTTATCATTAAAGATATGAAACTAATAAATCTGATTAATTGGTGCAGAAAGAAATATTGCTCACATTTTTAGCTGACAATAAGTGCTTGAGTGTTGGAAACATTCGTGACTTTTTCAAGTTAAAATTTCCATTGGTGATTCATCCTGAAAGGCACTCATCACACCTGGAGCCAGATTGTACTGTGCAGTTTAAATGTACCTGATTTCTCCCAGATGTAATTACTGTGCATTCTGTTAATATGCAATCAAGTTTCATTGCATAGATGTCAGTCTGTCATTCTGTGCCTTAACGCCTTTGCTTGAGCTGAAGTACCACAAGCAGATTCATCGTTGTCTCTGTCAAAGGTCGTTGATGCCTGTTTGCTTTTTGACATTTCATGTACTTACCTGAAAATGAAAAGTAGATTGCTAAACTGAGTGAGCTTGTCATGACAGCTGAAAATCACAGACTTTCTAACAAGCTGTGACAGCTCAGTAAGACCATAATCACAAGGAAGGACTCTTGATTGGTTTTATGCTAGTA